AGGCCAAATCGTATTAGTGCCGTTATTGAAAACAAATAAAACAAAAAAAACAAAACACGCTAAGACAAAAAAAAAACAAAGGCCTAACGTAACGTTGTGAAATCTATTAACCCGTTAGACCCTACGCAGTTCTTCCCGATCTTATTCAATTTGAAACTTTACACTATCCTTGGATCCCTAGTCAATAGTTGGCGACGCTCGGCGATGTCCTGCCTATCGTAATTCATCGGTGACTGTCGCAATAATTATTCAATAAATCAAAAAAAGCTGTTTTGTTGCGACAGTCGGCGGTTGTTGCAGACACTGCGATAATAAAACAAATGAAAACACTATTCTGAAAAAACTAAATTCTGATGTTAATTAACTGCAGAGCCAGACTGACACGATATAGTAATTATGTCGCGTGGAGTGACTCTATCGCCCGTATATTCTAAAAGCTCACTCGCACTCAATGAGTGGAGGTTCAATCTGAGCTTCTCTTGAGTGTCAATGCGCTGTTTTTGAATAGTTGGACGGTGAGTAGTCATCGAGTAAGGTATGACACTAGCCTTTCAGCTATTCAAAAACAGCATTAACACTCAAGAGAAGCTCAGATTGAACCTCCACTCATTGAGTGTGAGTGTGAGTGAGCTTTTAGAATACGGACGTATATCTGATAAAGCTTGTGGCATTATATAATTGTTCATCCTAATTAGTATGATTATATAATGTTCATCCTAATTAGTACTTAAATTTTATTTGCCCCAAATATAAACGTGAAACTGAAGGTGGTCGCACCTTTGCAGTCACTACAACAAAAGAATGGAACTGACTAGTGGTATGAACGGGCTTTGTCACCGCATTTTTTATTGGTTGATAATAAACAATTGTAGAAACTATCGGCTTTCTAAAGAACGAGTCATACTAACTGATCGCTATTGCTTTATGAAGCCAATCACAAAATACGATCATTTTAGGTTGGTATTCACTCGCAATAAGTGAGTGAAGTCGATATTTTTGTAGGCAAAAGAGTAAGTGGTCAATCATTTCGGCCTATCAGCTTTATCTAAATCACGACCCTATCAGCTTTAGCTGGATCTTTCAATCGTGATTAAATAAGTGCTTCAATTTTGGTCAGGACGACTGAGAAAGACCGACTTTCCTTTTCGCACCAACCTTACCTTAGCACCTCTAACCACACCGTCTCTTCCTACAATCAACTCCTTAACTTCACCCATCTTCCATTTTCCCCTTTTCACATTATCCTCATACACACAATCACAACATTACCCTTCTCAACAACTCTTTCACTATTTTCTCGCTTCTCTCTGTGGAATTCTCTCAAATAAGGAAGATAAACCGTCTGTTACAGTAGTTTTCGTGCGACTCGTCACTAACCACTCCGTCCGGCATTGATATCCGGCATCGAAAAATCCACCCCACCAGGGAGCTCTCTCCAAATTAAACTTCCACTCAATCCTTTTTGCACCTAAATATCCCTGTAAGGTTTCTCAGTTGTACAGTTTTTAAAAGGCTGCCAAACAGTCTGAATACGTGAATAGAGCTATTTTGGTAGTATGACAAACCCGGAAGTTTAAATACGTCACAAAATATAAAACAGGTTTTGCAAGTTCTCAAACGGCAACTCCGAGGGCAACTCAGCATGGAAGTGACCAGTTATATCGCGTGCCACCAGAGGTTCTCTTCGCCTCGCGTAAAATAAATACGAGCGGGAATAAGGCGAAAGATACAAGAACCTCTGGCAACCAAGTGACCAGGGTAAAGTCATGCGTGCAGGCGTGTATTACAGGCAGTGATTACAGGTTTATTATTTATAAAAAAAAAAGAAAACAAAAAAACTTCTGCATGATTCCTTCAGAGTTTCCACTTTCAAGGAAATTTCCTTTTTCAAGGATATTTAGACGTTTCAAGGAAAAAAAAGGAATCAAGGAAATGTAAGGAATTTTTGAAAATTCTAAGGAATTTCAAGAAATTTTTGAATCAACTGAAATGTTTTGATGATTCTTTCAGGAACCTTTCATTAATTTTAAATTATATTACTTTCCTTCGCTCATAACCAATATGTCCGCGTGCAAAAATAAAAAAGACCTCTTTCGGAGCCTGTGAGCGAGTTAGTAGATCTAGAATTAATGAATTATTAATTAAACTAAGTATAAAAACCTGAATTTTAGGCGGAAATCAGGTAATGTCCTGCATGCAGTGATGCAGGCTATAATAGATGCAGGCCACCACATGTTAACCTGAGTATCAGGCGTACTTTTCTCCCCTTCGCACGCGATCAGGCGTGCCTGTGCCCTAAAAAGTACGGCCTGATACTCAGGTTAACCACATGTTGGCTGTCATGCGAATTTATATGAATTAACCAAGGCAATTTCAAGGAAATTACATCCCATTTCAAGGAAATTCAAGGATATTATTTGGTAAAAACAAGGAAATTTGAATGCTCCGTTGTGGAAACACTGGATTCCTTGTTCTGTCCGGTGCTTCATTCTTCAAAATATTATACTTGATCTATTATTAATTGAATTGTTATATAAACTTGAATTGTTATATCCATAAAGAAAGATTTCTACGAACATTCTGGTTATCTAGAGCGAAGTATTTGATGATGGATGATTGAGGTTTGTTGTTCGATTTTTATAGCTTGTGAATCGGTCACGCGTACAGACGCGTACTATAATGCACCTATCAATGTTTAGCCGGAGGGGGCGGGGGGCGGGCGAAGGTGGGGGATTTGAGACAAGGTTTTTTGTCAAACATCCCATACTACACAAGTTCTACTGCTTCAAATGTGTCTAAATGCCCTATATACTGGAAGGTTTTCTTATTCAAACACCCGCACCAACACTCGACGATTTAAAATTTTAAGTTTTTAAGTTTACATGTAACATGTTCAAAGGTATTATATATTACTCTTTATTAATATAAACGAAAATGGTAAACAATTTGTACATGTTCAGTGTGTTCGATCATGAGCGAAAACGTCAAAACAAACGTGAATTTGTTTTATACCTTGGGTAGTCCGGCCATCTTGCAAAAAACCTTGTGCTCTCAGATTTGGTGACCAGACTTCTGCGCCAACAAGTGATCAAATGTCCCCACAGATCACAGCATCTTGTCAAATGTCCCCAACCTCAGGCTTGTGTCAGTGAGCCAATGCCCAACCCTGGGGATGGCATTTGTTGTCAAATCCCCCACCTTCGCCCGCCCTCCCCC